AAACCAGACTCTGAGTGTGTGTGTGTGTGTGTGTGTGTGTGTGTTGGCGTGTGTGTATATGTGTGTGTATCCTGCAGTACTCTGTACTCCTGCAGTGGCCAAAAAGACTTTTAAGAATGTGGATTTTTGGGTCATCTTTGGCGCCCCCTAGAACTGCAGTACTCTGTACTCCTGCAGTGGCCAAAATGACTTTTAAGAATGTGGATTTTTGGGTCATCTTTGGCGCCCCCTAGAACGTAAACCGTGGGGTGCAGCGTCATGATTTTTACAACTTTGAATGGGCATGGGGTGTAGATTGCCCTGAGCAAATTTGGTATCAGTGGGACGAAAGCCTTAGGAGGAGATAGCCACATTCCAATGTGTGCGAATCGGCAAAAAATGCGAAATAGCCCTTTAACCGTACATTATACAGATACGCGCTCTTTGACTTTTTCGTAGATCTAATTGAGATACACATGATTGTCAATTTTTGTGTCAATATGACAAAGCGTTCAGGCGTGACACTCAACAATGTGTATTTTCATGTAAGGGGACAAGAAAAAATTGACTTTTTTCTCCTGCCATGGGGGGGCGCTCTTTTGGGGAGTAAAAATTCCTTCACAAATGTGTTGATGGCTGGACATTGCATCATCCTAGAAAACTTGGAGGGCAGTGAGGACAAAAATAAAAAGTTATAAGACTTTTAAGAATGTGGATTTTTGGGTTATCTTTGGCGCCCCCTAGAACCTAAACCGTGGGGTGCAGCGTCATGATTTGTACAACTTTTAATGGCCATGGGGTGTAGACTGGCCTGAGCAAATGTGTTGCCGGTGGAACGAAAGCCTTCGGAGGAGTTAGCGAAATTCCAATGTGTGCGGATCGGCAAAAAATGCGAAATAACCCTTTTACCGTACATTTGACAGATACGCCCGCACTGACTTTTTTGTAGATCTTATTGAGATACATATGTGTGTCAATTTTTGTGTCAATATGACAAAACGTACAGACGTGACAGTCAATAGTGTGAATTTCCACCTTAGGGGGCGCTATGGAGCCATTTTGCATTTTATTGTTTGGGCGACTTCAAAATATCGAATTTTTCACCAGGCCCGGTCGTCCTGCCAAATTTCATGAGTTTTCGCCAGTGGGAAGTGGGCCATTTTCCAGTTTAAAGCGGAGGAAAAATAATAACTAGGGCCCCGTTGGGGCACTGGCGGGCCCGAGCCGTGTCGCACCCCCCCCCCCCCCAACGCGCTGCCTCCCCGTCCCATTCGTGTCCTCTGGCCATCGCCCTCTCTGGTAACGCCCATCACTGCAAAGACCCTTTTCCTTCATCGGCGTTTGCTGTTCTTCCTGCCAGTGCGTGTTGCTTTCACTTACACTTGCCACAGCCAGCCTCGTGAGTGCCTAGCCTATTGGATATCACTGTCACCTACACAGGACAGTCATACTTTGTTTTTTAATTTCACATTAATTTCCATATTGTATAAACGACTGGAAAAAACTTGAGCCCCTGCCCCTGTATTATCATGTGCACGTCCCTGTTCTAGCTCCAAGGTGAATCTTCAGTGCTCATGTTCTCCTCAGAAGCAGTCACCTCACTCCCCTCAGGTTACTGTACACATGCACCAACTGCCTGCTTCAGGTTTGGATGGAGCTTCATGGTTGTCTTTTGGAGAAATGACCAGTCAAGTTGTGTTTGAAATCTGATTTTTTTCAGGGGCAAAAGGAAGCCTCCGCATTCTTGTCAAATATGTAAATAGCATGTTTTTGCAGGTGCTAAAAAACAGACTCTGAGTGTGTGTGTGTGTGTGTGTGTGTGTGTGTGTGTGTGTGTGTGTGTGTGTGTGCGTGTGTGTGTGTGTGTGTGTGTGTGTGTGTGTGTGTGTGTGTATCCTGCAGTACTCTGAGAAGAATAATAAGCATATTTCTGAGGTGAATTTTGAAGATTCATCTGAGAGTTAGGTTTGATTCGATTCGATTGACGCTCCCCAGCGTTCAAGTCACATGACATATTTAACCGGATGTAGCTGCAAGACGGAGCCTCGTTAACTCTCCGTTTCAACTTATCTCAAAAGTGAGGACCTCAACCTATATACCAGTTTTTAAATTGTGTTGATAGGCCAAATAAAACCAGAGTTATGATAAATTATGTCCGCGATACTTTTTTTCTGCTTATTTTGATCACGTTCGGCGCTCGATCGTGCTGTATGAGACAGGAAAACATTGCATGCACACATTAGTGACAGGTCATACAGGCGGAAAAGGCTTGCCAAAAGAAAAAAAAAACACACCACAACATCTCTCCTATTGGTGGAAAACTTCACCACAACAACCAATCCAAAATTATATGGTGACTGATTGACAAGGGGCGGGCGCTTACGTTCTTCCTGCAACATGAGAAGGGAGGGAGGGACTCTCAGCAGGGATGCAGTCTGGGACACGTAGTTGCAAACCTAGCGACTTTGTTGTTAGATTCAATTACTTTTCAGACCCCCTAACGACTTTTTTAGAAAGAAAGGGACTTTTATCGACTTCTTCTGGAGTTTAGAGACTCTGACATGAAGCAGGCTTTCCTTACTGAGGAGTTAGCAACGCTGCTAAGGGTGCAGAGCCACACATGCGCTCCGAGCTCTGCATGGGAGACAGAAGCTGACAGAGCTGCAGCAGTTAGCAGGTTTCACCCTCAGAGACCACCAGGGGTTCATGTTGAGGCATTTTCAGTTTTTTTTTTTTTTGCCATAGACAGTCAGCACAATCTGCAGTTACACTAACAAAAATGCTGCAAAAAACAAAGAATTATGGAAAAATTACACATGGACTGACATAGAGGAGGATCTACACAAGTTTTTTACATCATGTTTTACATCATGCATCATTTACATCATGTTTTTTTGTAGTGGCATAAATAAAAAGTGACATTTGTGAGACTATACAGTGTTTTGTAAATAATTTTACAAAGAACGCCTGGGCCATTGCCTGCATTTTGATGTAAATAGAGGTAAATTACTATGTTCTTTGTTAAAAATTTGCATATGTTTTGAAGTTTACAATTTTTATTTGAAGTTTAAGTTTTAAAAACAGTTCATCACACATATTTGTGGTTTAATTTCACATTAATTTCCATATTGTATAAATGACTGGAAAAAACTTGAGCCCCTGCCCCTGTATAATCATGTGCACGTCCCTGTTCTAGCTCCAAGGTGAATCTTCACTGCTCATGTTCTCCTCAGAAATAGTCACCTCACTCTCCTCAGGTTACTGTACACATGCACCAACTATCTGCTTCAGGTTTGGATGGAGCTTCATGGTTGTCTTTTGGAGAAATGAACAGTCAAGTTGTGTTTGAAATCTGATTTTTTTCAGGGGCAAAAGGAAGCCTCTGCATTCTTGTCAAATATGTAAACAGCATGTTTTTGCAGGTGCTAAAAAACAGACTCTGAGTGTGTGTGTGTGTGTGTGTGTGTGTGTGTGTGTGTGTGTGTGTGTGTGTGTGTGTGTATATATGTGTGTGTATCCTGCAGTACTCTGTACTCCTGCAGTGGCCAAAAAGACTTTTAAGAATGTGGATTTTTGGGTCATCTTTGGCGCCCCCTAGAACTGCAGTACTCTGTACTCCTGCAGTGGCCAAAATGACTTTTAAGAATGTGGATTTTTGGGTCATCTTTGGCGCCCCCTAGAACGTAAACCGTGGGGTGCAGCGTCATGATTTTTACAACTTTGAATGGGCATGGGGTGTAGATTGGCCTGAGCAAATTTGGTATCGGTGGGACGAAAGCCTTAGGAGGAGATAGCCACATTCCAATGTGTGCGAATCAACCAAAAATGCGAAATAGCCCTTTAACCGTACATTTTGCAGACACGTGCGCATTGACTTTTTCGTAGATCTTATTGAGATACACGTGATTATCAAATTTTGTTTCAATATGACAAAGCGTACAGGCGTGACACTCAACAATGTGTATTTTCACCTTATAGGACAAGAAAAAATGGCCTTTTTTCTCCTGCCATGGGGGGGCGCTCTTTTGGGGAGTAAAAATTCCTTCACAAATGTGTTGATGGCTGGACATTGCATCATCCTAGAAAACTTGGAGGCCAGTGAGGACAGAAATAAAAAGTTATAAGACTTGTAAGAATGTGGATTTTTGGGTTATCTTTGGCGCCCCCTACAACGTAAACCGTGGGGTGCAGCGTCATGATTTGTACAACTTTGAATGGCCATGGGGTGTAGATTGGCCTGAGCAAATTTGGTGCCGGTGGAACGAAAGCCTTCGGAGGAGTTAGCGAAATTCCAATGTGTGCGGATCGGCAAAAAATGCGAAATAGCCCTTTAAACGTACATTTGACAGATACGCCCACACTGACTTTTTTGTAGATCTTATTGAGATACACGTGTGTGTCAAATTTTGTGTCATTTTGACAAAGCGTACAGGCGTGACACTCAATCATGTGAATTTTTCACCTTAGGGGGCGCTATGGAGCCATTTTGCATTTGATTGTTTGGGTGACTTCAGAATATCGAATTTTTCACCAGGCCCGGTCGTCCTGCCAAATTTCATGAGTTTTCACCAGTGGGAAGTGGGCCATTTTCCAGTTCAAAGGGGCAGAAAAATAATAAGAAGAAGAAGAAGAAACTAGGGCCCCGGTGGGGCACTGTCGGGCCCGAGCCGCGTCACGCCGCCCCCAGCGCGACCGCCTCCCCCTCCCGATCGCGTCACACTCAAGGTCCAAAGATGGTGTGCGCACTTGTCTGTGGTCATTTCCCATTATAATGAATGGGAAGCGCAGTTTCTACCAAGACACTCGCTGCAGACAAAGTTCATGTCCTATTTGAAAAAAGTCTGGACCATGAGTGAGGGCACAAACACAGCTAGGATATATCCAAATTGCAGGTTGCTCTTCCTTACGGTGTTGCCTGGAGAGCGATGCGATTGAGCCATTGAGCGATGGGCAGGAAAAACTTGACTTTTTCTCCTGCCATGGGGGGGGTGGGGGGGGGATGTGGATTCTTTTAAGAATGTGGATATTTGGGTCATCTTTGGCGCCCCCTAGAACGTAAACCGTGGGGTGCAGCGTCATGATTTTTACAACTTTGAATGGTCATGGGGTGTAGATTGGCCTGAGCAAATTTGGTGTCAGTGGGACGAAAGCCTTAGGAGGAGTTAGCCACATTCCAATGTGTGCGAATCGGCAAAAAATGCAAAATAGCCCTCTAACCGTACATTTGACAGATACGCGTGCATTGACTTTTTCGTAGATCTTATTGAGATACACGTGATTGTCAAATTTTGTGTCAATATGACAAAGCGTACAGGTGTCACACTCAACAATGTGAATTTTCACCTTAGGGGACAAGAAAAAATGGACTTTTTTCTCCTGCCATGGGGGGGCGCTCTTTTGGGGAGTAAAAATTCCTTCACAAATGTGTTGATGGCTGGACATTGCATCATCCTAGAAAACTTGGAGGCCAGTGAGGACAAAAATAAAAAGTTATAAGACTTTGAAATATGTGGATTTTAGGGTCATCTTTGGCGCCCCCTAGAACGTAAACCGTGGGGAGCAGCGTCATGATTTCTACAACTTTGAATGGCCATGGGATGTAGATCGGCTTGAGCAAATTTGGTGTTGGTGGGACGAAAGCCTTAGGAGGAGTTAGCCACATTCCAATGTGTGCGAATCGGCAAAAAATGCGAAATAGCCCTTTAACCGTACATTTTACAGATACGTGCCCATTGACTTTTTCGTAGATTTTATTGAGATACACGTGTGTGTCAAATTTTGTGTCATTTTGACAAAGCGTATAGGCGTGACAGTCAACAATGTGTTTTTTCACCTTAGGGGACAAGAAAAAATGGACTTTTTTCTCCTGCCATGGGGGGGCGCTCTTTTCGGGAGTAAAAATTCCTTTACAAATGTGTTGATGGCTGGACATTGCATCATCCTAGAAAACTTGGAGGCCAGTGAGGACAAAAATAAAAAGTTATAAGACTTTTAAGAATATGGATATTTGGGTTATCTTTGGCGCCCCCTAGAACGTAAACCGTGGGGTGCAGCGTCATGATTTTTACAACTTTGAATGGCCATGGGGTGTAGATTGGCCTGAGCAAATTTGGTGCCAGTGGGAAGAAAGCTTAGGAGGAGTTAGCGAAATTCCAATGTGTGCGAATCGGCAAAAAATGCAAAATAGCCCTTTAACCGTACATTTTACAGATACGTGCCCATTGACTTTTTCGTAGATCTTATTGAGATACATGTGTGTGTCAATTTTTGTGTCAATATGACAAAGCGTACAGGCGTGACAGTCAACAATGTGTATTTTCACCTTAGGGGACAAGAAAAAATGGACTTTTTTCTCCTGCCACGTGGGGGCGCTCTTTTGGGGAGTAAAAATTCCTTCACAAATGTGTTGATGGCTGGACATTGCATCATCCTAGAGAACTTGGAGGCCAGTGAGGAAAAAAATAAAAAGTTATAAGACTTTTAAGAATGTGGATTTTTTGGTTATCTTTGGCGCCCCCTAGAACCTAAACCGTGGGGTGCAGCGTCATGATTTGTACAACTTTCGATGGCCATGGGGTGTAGATTGGCCTGAGCAAATGTGGTGCCGGTGGAACGAAAGCCTTCGGAGGAGTTAGCGAAATTTCAATGTGTGCGGATCGGCAAAAAATGCGAAATAACCCTTTAACCGTACATTTGACAGATATGCCCGCACTGACTTTTTTGTAGATCTTATTAAGATACATGTGTGTGTCAATTTTTGTGTCAATATGACAAAGCGTACAGGCATGACAGTCAATAGTGTGAATTTTCACCTTAGGGGGCGCTATGGAGCCATTTTGCATTTTATTGTTTGGGCGACTTCAGAATATCGAATTTTTCACCAGGCCTGGTCGTCCTGCCAAATTTCATGAGTTTTCGCCAGTGGGAAGTGGGCCATTTTCCAGTTTAAAGCGGAGGAAAAATAATAATAATAACAAAAGAAGAATCCATCAGGAACAAGAGGGCTCTCGCAGCTGCTTAGCAGCTACGCTCGGGCCCTAACTAGGGCCCCGTTGGGGCACTGGCGGGCCCGAGCCGTGTCGCGCTGCCCCCCCCAACGCGCTGCCTCCCCGTCCCATTCGCGTCCTCTGGCCATCGCCCTCTCTGGTAACGCCCATCACTGCAAAGACTCTTTCCTTCATCGGCGTTTGCTGTTCTTCCTGCCAGTGCGTGTTGCTTTCACTTACACTTGCCACAGCCAGCCTCTTGAGTGCCTAGCCTATTGGATATCACTGTCATCTACACAGGACAGTCATAACCTTTCTATTAATACTTGTTTTTTAATTTCACATTAATTTCAATATTGTATAAATGACTGGAAAAAACTTGAGCCCCTGCCCCTGTATAATCATGTGCACGTCCCTGTTCTAGCTCCAAGGTGAATCTTCACTGCTCATGTTCTCCTCAGAAGTAGTCACCTCACTTTCCTCAGGTGACTGTACACATGCACCAACTGCCTGCTTCAGGTTTGGATGGAGCTTCATGGTTGTCTTTTGGAGAAATGAGCAGTCAAGTTGTGTTTGAAATTTGATTTTTTTCAGGGGCAAAAAGGGGCCTCTGCATTCTAGTCAAATATGTAAATAGCATGTTTTTGCAGGTGCTAAAAAAAAGACTCTGAGTGTGTGTGTGTATATCCTGCAGTACTCTGAGAAGAATAATAAGCATATTTCTGAGGTGAATTTTGAAGATTCATCTGAGAGTTAGGAGGGCTGATCATTCCCTTACCCTTTAGATGTCTGTCTATGTCTGTTTTTGTGTGATAATGAAAGAATCCCAACTCAAAAAGGCTCTGTTGATGTTTTTTTTTTGTTGTTGTTCATTCATATTCAAACCACTATTTTATATCACTGCTAATACGCCAAGACCTTTTTATGGAATTTAGCTTTATTATTTCTATACATTTTGCAAGGAAAGAAACCAAGGCCTTCACTAAAATTTCCATAAACTTTAGGAAAGGACCTCTGGTTGTTTAACGGGGTCATTACTGCAAAAACATATTCTTCCTAAATTTTGAAGGTCAAACCTTAGATCCATTAGGTTTAAATAGAAAAAGCATTAAAATATGTTAGGATTATAGCATATGACAAATATGTGCCTTTCAGTGGCCACAACTACTTTGTCTGCTGGCTCTGCAGTCGATTGACGCTCCCCAGCGTTCAAGTCACATTACATATTTAACCGGATGTAGCAGCAAGACGGAGCCTCGTTGACTCTCCGTTTCAACTTATCTCAAAAGTGAGGACCTCAAACTATACACCAGTTTTCAAATTGTGTTGATAGGCCAAATAAAACCAGAGTTATGATAAATTATGTCCGCAATACTTTTTTTCTGCTTATTTTGATCACGTTCGGCGCTCGATCGCGCTGTATGAGACAGGAAAACATAGCATGCAGACATTAGCGACAGGTCTTGCAGGCGGAAAAGGCTTGCCAAAGAAAAAGAAAAACACACCACAACATCTCTCCTATTGGTGGAAAACTTCACCACAACAACCAATCCAAAATTATATGGTGACTGATTGACAAGGGGCGGGCGCTTACGTTCTTCCTGCAACATGAGAAGGGAGGGAGGAACTCTCAGCAGGGATGCAGTCTGGGACACGTAGTTGCAAACCTAGCGACTTTGTTGTTAGATTCAATGACTTTTCAGACCCCCTAACGACTTTTTTTTAGAAAGAAAGGGACTTTTATCGACTTCTTCTGGAGTTTAGAGACTCTGACATGAAGCAGGCTTTCCTTACTGAGGAGTTAGCAACGCTGCTAAGGGTGCAGAGCCACACATGCGCTCCGAGCTCTGCATGGGAGACTAAAGCTGACAGAGCTGCAGCAGTTAGCAGGTTTCACCCTCAGAGACCACCAGGGGTTCATGTTGAGGCATTTTCAGTTTTTTTTTTTTTTTGCCATAGACACTGTCAGCACAATCTGCAGTTACACTAACAAAAATGCTGCAAAAAACAAAGAATTATGGAAAAATTACACATGGACTAACATAGAGGAGGATCTACACAAGTTTTTTACATCATGTTTTACATCATGCATCATTTACATCATGTTTTTTTGTAGTGGCATAAATAAAAAGTGACATTTGTGAGACTATACAGTGTTTTGTAAATAATTTTACAAAGAACGCCTGGGCCATTGCCTGCATTTTGATGTAAATAGAGGTAAATTACTATGTTCTTTGTTAAAAATTTGCATATGTTTTGAAGTTTACAATTTTTATTTGAAGTTTAAGTTTTAAAAACAGTTCATCACACATATTTGTGGTTTAATTTCACATTAATTTCCATATTGTATAAATGACTGGAAAAAACTTGAGCCCCTGCCCCTGTATAATCATGTGCACGTCCCTGTTCTAGCTCCAAGGTGAATCTTCACTGCTTATGTTCTCCTCAGAAATAGTCACCTCACTCCCCTCAGGTTACTGTACACATGCACCAACTATCTGCTTCAGGTTTGGATGGAGCTTCATGGTTGTCTTTTGGAGAAATGAACAGTCAAGTTGTGTTTGAAATTTGATTTTTTTCAGGGGCAAAAGGAAGCCTCTGCATTCTTGTCAAATATGTAAACAGCATGTTTTTGCAGGTGCTTAAAAACAGACTCTGAGTGTGTGTGTGTGTGTGTGTGTGTGTGTGTGTGTGTGTGTGTGTGTGTGTGTTGGCGTGTGTGTATATGTGTGTGTATCCTGCAGTACTCTGTACTCCTGCAGTGGCCAAAAAGACTTTTAAGAATGTGGATTTTTGGGTCATCTTTGGCGCCCCCTAGAACTGCAGTACTCTGTACTCCTGCAGTGGCCAAAATGACTTTTAAGAATGTGGATTTTTGGGTCATCTTTGGCGCCCCCTAGAACGTAAACCGTGGGGTGCAGCGTCATGATTTTTACAACTTTGAATGGGCATGGGGTGTAGATTGCCCTGAGCAAATTTGGTATCGGTGGGACGAAAGCCTTAGGAGGAGATAGCCACATTCCAATGTGTGCGAATCGGCAAAAAATGCAAAATAGCCCTTTAACCGTACATTATACAGATACGCGCTCTTTGACTTTTTCGTAGATCTAATTGAGATACACATGATTGTCAATTTTTTTGTCAATATGACAAAGCGTAAAGGCGTGACACTCAACAACGTGTATTTTCACCTTTCGGGATAAGAAAAAATGGACTTTTTTCTCCTGCCATGGGGGGGCGCTCTTTTGGGGAGTAAAAATTTCTTCACAAATGTGTTGATGGCTGGACATTGCATCATCCTAAAAAACTTGGAGGCCAGTATGGAAAAAAATAAAAAGTTATAACACTTTTAAGAATGTGGATTTTTGGGTTATATTTGGTGCCCCCTAGAACCCAAACCGTGGGGTGCAGCAAGATGATTTGTACAACTTTTAATGGCCATGGGGTGTAGATTGGCCTGAGCAAATTTGGTGCCGGTGGAAAGATAGCCTTCGGAGGAGTTAGTGAAATTCCAATGTGTGCGGATCAGCAAAAAATGCAAAATAGCCCTTTAACCGTACATTTGACAGATACATGCCCTTTGACTTTTTCGTAGATCTTATTGAGATACACGTGATTGTCAAATTTTGTGTCAATATGACAAAGCATACAGGCGTGACACTCGACAATGTGTATTTTGACCTTTGGAGACAAGAAAAAATGGACCTTTTTCTCCTGCCATTGGGGGGCGCTCTTTTGGGGAGTAAAAATTCCTTCACAAATGTGTTGATGGCTGGACATTGCATCATCCTAGAAAACTTGGAGGCCAGTGAGGACAAAAGTAAAAAGTTAATACACTTTTAATAATGTGGATTTTTGGGTTATCTTTGGCGCCCCCTAGAACATAAACCGTGGGGTGCAGCGTCATGATTTGTACAACTTTTAATGGCCATGGGGTGTAGATTGGCCTGCGCAAATGTGGTGCCGGTCGAACGAAAGCCTTCGGAGGAGTTAGCGAAATTCCAATGTGTGCAGATCTGCAAAAAATGAAAAATAACCCATTAACCGTACATTTGACAGATACGCCCACACTGACTTTTTTGTAGATCTTATTGAGATACACGTGTGTGTCAATTTTTGTGTCAATATGACAAAGCGTACAGCCGTCATGTGAATTTTCACCTTAGGGGGCGCTATGGAGCCATTTTGCATTTTATTGTTTGGGCGACTTCAGAATATCGAATTTTTCACCAGGCCCGGTCGTCCTGCCAAATTTCCTGAGTTTTCGCCAGTGGGAAGTGGGCCATTTTCCAGTTTAAAGCGGAGGAAAAATAATAACGAAAGAAGGAAACATGCAGGAACAAGAGGGCTCTCGCAGCTGCTTAGCAGCTACGCTCGGGCCCTAAGAAGAATCCATCAGGAATAATAGGGCTCTCGCAGCTGCTTAGCAGCTACGCTCGGGCCCTAACTAGGACCCCGTTGGGGCACTGGCGGGCCCGAGCTGTGTCGCGTCCCCCCCCCAACGCGCTGCCTCCCCGTCCCATTTGTGTCCTCTGGCCATCGCCCTCTTTGGTAACGCCCATCACTGCAAAGACCCTTTTCCTTCATCGGCGTTTGCTGTTCTTCCTGCCAGTGCGTGTTGCTTTCACTTACACTTGCCACAGCCAGCCTCGTGAGTGCCTAGCCTATTGGATATCACTGTCACCTACACAGGACAGTCATTACCTTTCTATTAATACTTTGTTTTTTAATTTCACATTAATTTCCAAATTGTATAAACGACTGGAAAAAACTTGAGCCCCTGCCCCTGTATAATCATGTGCACGTCTCTGTTCTAGCTCTAAGGTAAATCTTCACTGCTCATGTTCTCCTCAGAAGCAGTCACCTCACTCCCCTCAGGTTACTGTACACATGCACCAACTGCCTGCTTCAGGTTTGGATGGAGCTTCATGGTTGTCTTTTGGAGAAATGACCAGTCAAGTTGTGTTTGAAATTTGATTTTTTTCAGGGGCAAAAGGAGCCTCTGCATTCTTGTCAAATATGTAAATAGCATGTTTTTGCAGGTGCTACAAACCAGACTCTGAGTGTGTGTGTGTGCGTGTGTGTGTGTGTGTGTGTGTGTGTGTGTGTGTGCGTTCAAGTCACATGACATATTTAACCGGATGTAGCTGCAAGACGGAGCCTCGTTGACTCTCCGTTTCAATTTATCTCAAAAGTGAGGACCTCAACCTATATACCAGTTTTTAAATTGTGTTGATAGGCCAAATAAAACCAGAGTTATGATAAATTATGTCCGCGATACTTGTTTTCTGCTTATTTTGATCACGTTCGGCGCTCGATCGCGCTGTATGAGACAGGAAAACATAGCATGCAGACATTAGCGACAGGTCTTACAGGCGGAAAAGGCTTGCCAAAGGAAAAAAAATACACACCACAACATCTCTCCTATTGGTGGAAAACTTCACCACAACAACCAATCCAAAATTATATGGTGACTGATTGACAAGGGGCGGGAACTTACGTTCTTCCTGCAACATGAGAAGGGAGGGAGGGACTCTCAGCAGGGATGCAGTCTGGGACACGTAGTTGCAAACCTAGCGACTTTGTTGTTAGATTCAATGACTTTTCAGACCCCCTAACGACTTTTTTTTAGAAAGAAAGTGACTTTTATCGACTTCTTCTGGAGTTTAGAGACTCTGACATGAAGCAGGCTTTCCTTACTGAGGAGTTAGCAACGCTGCTAAGGGTGCAGAGCCACACATGCGCTCAGAGCTCTGCATGGGAGACTGAAGCTGACAGAGCTGCAGCAGTTAGCAGGTTTCACCCTCAGAGACCACCAGGGGTTCATGTTGAGGCATTTTCAGTTTTTTTTTTTTTTTTTGCCATAGACACTGTCAGCACAATCTGCAGTTACACTAACAAAAATGCTGCAAAAAACAAAGAATTATGGAAAAATTACACATGGACTAACATAGAGGAGGATCTACACAAGTTTTTTACATCATGTTTTACATCATGCATCATTTACATCATGTTTTTTTGTAGTGGCATAAATAAAAAGTGACATTTGTGAGACTATACAGTGTTTTGTAAATAATTTTACAAAGAACGCCTGGGCCATTGCCTGCATTTTGATGTCAATAGAGGTAAATTACTATGTTCTTTGTTAAAAATTTGCATATGTTTTGAAGTTTACAATTTTTATTTGAAGTTTAAGTTTTAAAAACAGTTCATCACACATATTTGTGGTTTTCACAGTAAAAACGTTACTTTTTTCCACTCGGATTTTATGTTTTGTGTGTGAATTTGGGTCCAATGTGTAAATATAGTATGTCAAAATGATAAAATAACTGTAAATTGACACAGGTGAGGTTGTGCTGAAAAAAATGATACCAGGCAAGGCAAGGTAAAAATTTTGTAAGAGGAAATATAAAGGTAAAATCTAAAGTAGTCAAAAACGGCCAATAGTGACTCACAGACTCCACAGACAAGTCCCTTTGGCGCCACTCAGTGGGCAAAACTACTTTGTCTACTGTAATGTATATTTGGGTCATCTTTGGCGCCCCCTAAAACGTAAACCGTGGGGTGCAGCGTCATGATTTTTACAACTTTGAATGGCCATGGAGTGTAGATTGGCCTGAGCAAATTTGGTGTCAGTGGGACGAAAGCCTTAGGAGGAGTTAGCGAAATTCCAATGTGTGCGAATCGGCAAAAAATGCAAAATAGCCCTTTTACCGTACATTATACAGATACGCGCTCTTTGACTTTTTCGTAGATCTAATTGAGATACACATGATTGTCAATTTTTGTGTCATTTTGCCAAAGCGTACAGGCGTGACAGTCAACAATGTGTATTTTCACCTTAGGGGACAAGAAAAAATGGACTTTTTTCTCCTGCCATGGGGGGGCGCTCTTTTAGGGAGTAAAAATTCCTTCACAAATGTGTTGATGGCTGGACATTGCATCATCCTAGAAAACTTGGAGGCCAGTGGGGACAACAATAAAAAGTTATAAGACTTTTAAAAATGTGGATTTTTGGGTTATCTTTGGCGCCCCCTAGAACGTAAACCGTGGGGTGCAGCGTCATGATTTGAATAACTTTTAATGGCCATGGGGTGTAGATTGGCCTGAGCAAATGTGGTGCCGGTGGAACGAAAGCCTTCGGAGGAGTTAGCGAAATTCCAATGTGTGCGGATCGGCAAAAAATGCGAAATAACCCTTTAACCGTACATTAGACAGATACGCGCGCATGGACTTTTTTGTAGATCTTATTGAGATACATGTGTGTGTCAATTTTTGTGTCATTTTGACAAAGCGTACAGGCGTGACAGTCAATAGTGTGAATTTTCACCTTAGGGGACAAGAAAAAATGGACTTTTTTCTCCTGCCATGGGGGGGCGCTCTTTTGGGGAGTAAAAATTCCTTCACAAATGTGTTGATGGCTGGACATTGCATCATCCTAGAAAACTTGGAGGCCAGTGAGGGCAAAAATAAAAAGTTATAAGACTTTTAAATATGTGGATTTTAGGGTTATCTTTGGCGCCCCCTAGAACCTAAACCGTGGGGTGCAGCGTCATGATTTGAATAACTTTTAATGGCCATGGGGTGTAGATTGGCCTGAGCAAATGTGGTGCCGGTGGAACGAAAGCCTTCGGAGAAGTTAGCGAAATTCCAATGTGTGCGGATCGGCAAAAAATGCGAAATAACCCTTTAACCGTACATTTGACAGATACGCCCGCACTGACTTTTTTGTAGATCTTATTGAGATACATGTGTGTGTCAATTTTTGTGTCATTTTGACAAAGCGTACAGGCGTGACAGTCAATAGTGTGAATTTTCACCTTAGGGGGCGCTATGGAGCCATTTTGCATTTTCTTGTTTGGGCGACTTCGGAATATCAAATTTTTCACCAGGCCCGGTCGTCCTGCCAAATTTCATGAGTTTTCGCCAGTGGGAAGTGGGCCATTTTCCAGTTCAAAGGGGAGGAAAAAGAAAAAAGAAACAAAGAAAAACCACTTGGGGAATAATAGGGCTCTCGCAGCTGCTTAGCAGCTACGCTCGGGCCCTAATAATAATAATAACAAAAGAAGAATCCATCAGGAACAAGAGGGCTCTCGCAGCTGCTTAGCAGCTACGCTCGGGCCCTAAAGAAGAAGAAGAAAGAACTAGGGCCCCGGTGGGGCACTGTCGGGCCCGAGCCGCGTCGCGCCGCCCCTAGCGCGACCGCCTCCCCCTCCCGATCGCGTCACACTCAAGGTCCAAAGATGGTGTGCGCACTTGTCTGTGGTCATTTCCCATTATAATGAATGGGAGGCGCAGTTTCTACCAAAACACTCGCTGCAGACAAACTTCATGTCCTATTTGAAAAAAGTCTGGACCATGAGTGAGGGCACAAACACAGCTATGATATATCGAAATGGCAGGTTGCTCCTCCTTACGGTGTTGCCTGGAGAGCGATGCGATTGAGCCATTGAGCGATGGGCAGGGTTAACTTGACTTTTTCTCCTGCCTTGGGGGGGGGATGGGGGTGGATTCCTTTAAGAATGTGGATTTTTGGGTCATCTTTGGCGCCCCCTAGAACGTAAACCGTGGGGTGCAGCGTCATGATTTTTACAACTTTGAATGGCCATGGGGTGTAGATTGGCCTGAGCAAATTTGGTGTCAGTGGGACGAAAGCCTTAGGAGGAGTTAGCCACATTCCAATGTGTGCGAATCGGCAAAAAATGCAAAATAGCCCTTTAACCGTACATTTGACAGATACGCGCGCATTGACTTTTTTGTAGATCTTATTGAGATACATATGTGTGTCAATTTTGTGTCAATATGATAAAGCGTACAGGCGTGACAGTCAATGTGTAATTTCCACCTTAGGGGACAAGAAAAAATGGACTTTTTTCTCCTGCCATGGGGGGGCGCTCTTTTGGGGAGTAAAAATTCCTTCACAAATGTGTTGATGGCTGGACATTGCATCATCCTAGAAAACTTGGAGGCCAGTGAGGACAAAAATAAAAAGTTATAAGACTTTTAAATATGTGGATTTTAGTGTTATCTTTGGCGCCCCCTAGAACCTA